AATCTTTGTTCTGACCCTAATATTAGGTACTGAAATTGTACTCAAATTGTCACAAACACATTGACAGGTGGACATTTACACCTGCCTTGGTCATTAACTATTGTCTGGGAATACTGTATACAAAGTATTTATAGGTCCCAGCAATATTTTGGATATGCTGAGTATATAATAATAATAAGAAAGAAGATGGAAGAAGAAGTAAGGAGAAGAATTAAGGAGGAGGAGGAAGAAGAAGAATGGGAGGGTGTTGGCACCTGGAGAAGAAGTTGATATCCTTGGGGTGAAATTTGACTCCAAACTAACCATGAAGAACCATGTTGTAAATCTTGCAAACAAGGCAGCCAGGAAGCTTACAGCACTTCGCCGTATCTCGCATCTGCTTGACAGTAGGGGTTGCAAGATTCTGTACAAGGCACAAGTATGCTCACACCTTGAGTATGCTCCACTTTCTTGGTTTGCCTGCCCCCCTTTCTCATCTGCGACTGCTTGACAGAGTAGAGAACAGAGCAAGACGTCTAATCTCTCGCCTGGACCCATCCTGGATAGATCTGTCATTTCAGCAGAGCCTTCAACACAGGAGGGATGTGGGTGGCCTTACTGTTATGTACAAGGCCAATATTGTCAAAGTACCACACTTGGATCCACTTCGAGGACAGCGTGAAACAAGCTTTTATGGCACAAGACTGGCAGAAAGCAGCAGCTTCACTCTGGCTGTACCCTTCTCCAGAACATCACTCCATCTAAGATCATATATACCCAGGATGACTCGAGTATGGAACACATTCGTACAGCATAATGATGTCAACGAGATAAAGTCAGTTGATCAAATAAAAATGCTGGCCCACAGATGGCTCCAACTTCATCCTGTTCCTTACTTGTATGTCTCATAACAATAAAAATGCTTTCAAATGAGCTGATGTAGGTAACAGTGCTTAGCTTGCCAATAAAGTTAGGAATCCTTAACCTGTAAATAGCTTGTCAATAAAGCTAGGGATCCTTAACCTAACCTTGCCAAACCCTGTGTTAAAAAAAAAAAAAAGGAAGGAGAAGAAGGAGAAAAAGAAGAAGTTCCCTTGAAGCATGATGTAAGACAAGTGTTCAGTGACAAGTGTCTGCAAGGGTGCAGTGATAAGATAAGTGGTGACATTTGATGGACCCACCGAGGGTGCAGTGATGAGATAAGAGGTGACATTTAACCCTTTCAGGGTCCGTCCCGTAGATCTACAGCTTTACGTTCAGGGTCCAAACCATAGATCTACGCCAAAATTCTAGCTCCGTCAAATTTAGAACGAGAAGGCTGGTAGGCCTACATCTAAGAGAATGGGTCTGGGTGGTCAGTGTGCACACCATAGAAAAAATCTGGACGGCCACATGGCATTGTGGGAACGCCGGCAAAGTAGCTTTGTTCATAGTGCCTGGCGGCAAGGAAGCTCTCACTCCCCACTCACTCTCTGGGCGAATTCTGACTCTCCTCTTCACAACTTACAGTTCTAAGACTGATGGAAGTGGAGCTGAAGACGAATTTTATGGTTTTGAACCATGTGGTACCATTGTGCCATATGGTACAATGGTGCCATGTCATACAATGGTATCATTTGATACAATGGTATATGGTACAATGGTACCATATGGTACAATGTACCATATAGTACATTGTACCATATAGTACATTGTACCATATGGTACATTATATCATATGGTACAGGGTACAGGGACCCTAATGGAAATAAATCTGTCTGACTTTTTTGGGTTATCCTAGGTTCTCCAAACATATGCTGCTAAGCATGATATTCTATGTAACTTTATTTGTGTATAACTAAATAAACTTACTTATGATGCACATGCACTTGAGTAAGTTTATTCAGGTGTACAGAAATACAATTACATAGATTATCATACATAGCATCATGTGTATAAAATCCTAGGATAACCTTAGAAAGTCAGGGTGACTTATTTCTATAGTTATCCCTGTATCTGTACCATATGGTGTCCTGTACTGTATGGTACCCTGTACCATATGGTACCCTGTACCATATGGTACCCTGTACCATATGGTACCCTGCACCATATGGTACCCTGCACCATATGTTATCCTGTACTGCATGGTACCCTATACCATATAGTACAATGTACCATATGGTACCCTGTAACATGATACCGTGTACCATATGGTTAATAGGTGTTGGTGGCATGAGACACCAGCCAAGACTGAGTGAGTGGCGACGCAAGCTAGCTACTGACTCTGCAGTTTCCGAGACAAAGTGCTTTGTCATCCACCTCAAGGAACACGTTAAGTTCCTGTACACTTGTAAATATATAGTAGAACATTACTAATATACAACATTTTTGCATATTTTTGTTGTAAACAGCTATTGTAAACAAAATAATAATGAAAATATTAGTGTGTTTGTTTTGAATACAACAGTACCATATGGTACAATGAACCATATGGTATCATTGTACTGTATGGTACAATGTACCATATGGTATCATATGGTGTAATGGTACCATAAGGTACCATTGCACCATATGGTACCATTGTATCATATGGTACCATTGTACCAAATGATGCCATTGTACCATATGGTACCATTGTATCATATGGTACCATTGTATCATGTGCCATTGTGCCATATTGTACCATATGGTACCATTGTATCATATGGTGCCATTGTACCATATGGTGCAATTGCACCCTATGGCACCATTGTACCACATGGTACTATATGGTACCGTTGTATTCAACACAATAACTGCACTAATATTTTCACTAACTTGTAAACAAGTTTTGTAAGCAATGTAATGATAAATTAGTGCAGTTATTGTGTTGAATACAATGAGTGTACACTTACACAATATACATTATATTGGTCTCACAGGCCACAAATGTTATTAGAAAAAGAAAAAAATTGGAAAAGAAAAGAAAGAAGTATAAAAAACGTAAAATAAAAAAATGGGATTTTGCGGAAGTCACTGATGTTGCCGCCACCCGGTCATTTTGGGTCAACTTCCCGCCGCTGTATCTCGGTAAGTACTGATCAGAAAAAACTTTTTTTTGTCTTATTACCTTCACAAAAATATACTTTTTTTTTTTCCAAAATTTCTTGGACACTGGAGCACCACTTCAGATTTTGGCCTTGGACCCTGAAGGGGTTAATGAGTGCCAGGGAGGATGCAGTGACAAAATGAGATAAGAGGTGACATTTGATGAACGCTGGGGAGGGTGCAGCGATAAGATGAGATAAGGGGTGACATTTGATGAGCGCTGGCGAGGGTGCAGTGATAAGTTGAGATAAAGGGTGACATTTGCTCATATATATATATATATATATTATATATATATTAATATATATATATATATATAATATATATATATATATTATATCATCTCCTCTCCTCTCCCCTCTTCTCTCTCTCTCCTCTCTCTCTACTCTCTTCTCCTCTCTCTCTCTTCTCTCTCTCTCTCTCCTCTCACTATCTCTACTCTCTTCTAACTCTCTCTCTCTCTCTCTCTCTCTTCTCTCTCTCTCTCTCTCTCTCTCTCTCTCTCTCTCTCTCTCTCTCTCACTCTCTCTCCTCTCTCTCTTCTCTCTCTCTCTCTCTCTCTCTCTCTCTCTCTCTCTCTCTCTCTCTCTCTCTCTCTCTCTCTCTCTCTCTCTCTCTCTCTCTCCTCTCTCTCTCTCCTCTCTCTCTCTCTCTCTCTCTCTCTCTCTCTCTCTCTCTCTCTCTCTCTCTCTCCTCTCTCTCTCTCTCTCTCTGTGAGAGAGCCACTGTGAACCAACAGGTATTCTTACGCATTACAGTATATCTATAAACACAATATAGCACTGACTGGCCGACCAGCCACTTATTATACGTTCTAGAATTGTTTCTCTTTACTTAGGGCATAGGTTAAAAGACAATTTGGAAGGGTGTTGCACTAATGTTGCATATGGGTTATTATCGAGATTTTTTTATATTTCCTCGACCACTTGTGGCCACATCCACCTCAAAGTCGCTAAACTTGGGGTCAACATCACTTTCCTTTTAAAAGGGAAGTGTTAATATGGCATGACATCAGTGAATCCTTTGTGTTTGCCGCGCTGTTTTCTTTAGTTGGCGCTCAATTTAACTGGTGCTATCAAAAGGTACTAAGTGGTCCCAGATGTTTTTAATACAGCACACACTGAGTGTTAAGACCCATTCCATGCTGACCAGGCATCTCATGCCAATCATGCCAAATTTGGAGGCAGGAAAAATAAAACGTATATATACGTTTTGACCGTTTATGGGTTAAAATAGACAGTAAGTGTAATATAGTTGAGGTCTGGGGATATGATTAATGAACAGAGGAAATTTTTTAGTGCCAGTAATGTCTGTATTGTTTACTTTGCACTCTATTTTTAAACTGTTATATTTTTTATTTTGTGTAAAATTGTTCAAATTACCAACTTCTGTGTACTTTATAGGGTAATTGTAATACTTAATGGGTGGTTTATTGTGCTGAATTGATAGAACAGAAGGCAAACTAGCAAAGCACCTAAGAATTTGTTGGATGAAACAATGGATTTGATTTTAAATAGGCCACAAGGTGGGCAAATTTGCTGATATGTAAATTGTGCACCCAGACTGCTAACTATGCACTTCATAATTGCTTAAGTTTTCCATCAAATTTTGTATTTTTGGTGTCATTACCTTCAGAGAGAGATTAATTTTGGAGGAGTTTGGACAGTGAAAGGGTTAAAGAGATATAGCCAAACAACAAATTGAAATGCCAAACCAGCCATTGGATTTTTCAAAAAAGATCTCCATCAGTTACCCACACTTTAAGGGGTATTCTCTGAAACCAGGTCGAGTGATGCCATATTTAAAAAATAATTAGAACCATTCTTTTGCTTACTGTACAAGCCATATGTTATGACAATAAATATACCCAAGTGTAGCACGTGCGTCTTATTTGTCAAGCATTTTGAAATATCTTCTAAAATGATTATGCACATGTACATCCTAACTATTTTCAGATATCTTGTTGCACTTAAGCGGGCTAGGCCACCAGAGACAAAATCTGGTGAGACTGTAGGCAAGAAAAAAGTTCTAACACCAAACGTGTGGGGTGAAGGAAGAATTGGTAGAGGGGCTGGAGCAGAACGAGCAACTCTTGGATTAGCTAGAGTGGGATCAAGAGCTGCCCTTAATTTTGCTTTTGCATTTTTAAGAAGAGCATGGCGATCAGGGGAAGATGCTGACCTGTGTACAGAATTGCTGCAAGTAAGTTAAAGTTTTTTGTTTTAGAGCTACAGTATGTCTTGTCCTTTTGACTACAACTCTCTTAACCCGTAAACGGTCCAAACGTATATGTACGTTCACTACCGTACTGCCCCAACTTTTTTGAGAAAAAAAACGTTGTTTTTTTTAATAGGAAAAAGAGCATTTGGTACCCAGGCATCCCCAGTTATTTTAATATGGTGCACAGTGAGTGCTCACACCCATTCTCACATGTCTAGGCAACTCAGGCTTATCATGGCAATGTTAAATGTTGGACACATAAAACGTATATATATGTTTGGGGCACTAGCGGTAAAGACGTATATATACGTTTGGACCATTTATGGGTTAAGAAAGTCTCAGAAAAATTATTTATTTATTTTTTTTTTTTATTATCACACTGGCCGATTCCCACCAAGGCAGGGTGGCCCGAAAAAGAAAAACTTTCACCATCATTCACTCCATCACTGTCTTGCCAGAAGGGTGCTTTACACTACAGTTAAACTGCAACATTAACACCCCTCCTTCAGAGTGCAGGCACTGTACTTCCCATCTCCAGGACTCAAGTCCGGCCTGCCGGTTTCCCTGAACCCCTTCATAAATGTTACTTTGCTCACACTCCAACAGCACGTCAAGTATTAAAAACCATTCGTCTCCATTCACTCCTATCAAACACGCTCACGCACGCCTGCTGGAAGTCCAAGCCCCTCGCACACAAAACCTCCTTTACCCCCTCCCTCCAACCTTTCCTAGGCCGACCCCTACCCCGCCTTCCTTCCACTACAGACTGATACACTCTTGAAGTCATTTTGTTTCGCTCCATTCTCTCTACATGTCCGAACCACCTCAACAACCCTTCCTAAGCCCTCTGGACAACAGTTTTGGTAATCCTGCACCTCCTCCTAACTTCCAAACTACGAATTCTCTGCATTATATTCACACCACACATTGCCCTCAGACATGACATCTCCACTGCCTCCAGCCTTCTCCTCGCTGCAACATTCATCACCCATGCTTCACACCCATATAAGAGTGTTGGTAAAACTATATATACTCTCATACATTCCCCTCTTTGCCTCCAAGGACAAATTTCTTTGTCTCCACAGACTCCTAAGTGCACCACTCACCCTTTTCCCCTCATCAATTCTAGGATTCACCTCATCCTTCATAGACCCATCCGCTGACACGTCCACTCCCAAATATCTGAATACATTCACCTCCTCCATACTCTCTCCCTCCAATCTGATATCCAATCTTTCATCACCTAATATTTTTGTTATCCTCATAACCTTACTCTTTCCTGCATTCACTTTTAATTTTCTTCTTTTGCACACCCTACCAAATTCATCCACCAATCTCTGCAACTTCTCTTCAGAATTTCCCAAGAGCACAGTGTCATCAGCAAAGAGCAACTGTGATAACTCCCACTTTATGTGTGATTCTTTATCTTTTAACTCCACGCCTCTTGTCAAGACCCTCGCATTTACTTCTCTTACAACCCCATCTATAAATATATTAAACAACCACGGTGACATCACACATCCTTGTCTAAGGCCTACTTTTACTGGGAAATAATTTCCCTCTTTCCTACATACTCTAACTTGAGCCTCACTATCCTCGTAAAAACTCTTCACTGCTTTCAGTAACCTACCTCCTACACCATACACCTGCAACATCTGCCACATTGCCCCCTATCCACCCTGTCATACGCCTTTTCCAAATCCATAAATGCCACAAAGACCTCTTTAGCCTTATCTAAATACTGTTCACTTATATGTTTCACTGTAAACACCTGGTCCACACACCCCCTACCTTTCCTAAAGCCTCCTTGTTCATCTGCTATCCTATTCTCAGTCTTACTTTTAATTCTTTCAATAATAACTCTACCATACACTTTACCAGGTATACTCAACAGACTTATCCCCCTATAATTTTTGCACTCTCTTTTGTTCCCTTTGCCTTTATGCAAAGGAACTATGCATGCTCTCTGCCAATCCCTAGGTACCTTACCCTCTTTTCTGCATATGAATCTATATTTAAGCTAGGGAAGTGACCCCTGAAGTGACCTAGAGTCCTTATGGAAGGGGATTCCCCTTCCAAACAATAACCTCTCTTCCCTCTTGTTAGGCAAAAATGTGGGATAGCTGGGGGCTTGAGCCTGGTCTAAGGGCAAAGGTAAAAGTTACACACCTCTCAAGCCCAAACCGGCCACCCAGGGCTATCCCAGTCAAAACAGAAAGCGCTAAACTAGTATGTGTACTTAAAGGGGTTGAGTAACAGAGGGTTAGGCAAAAATCCAATTTGGGAAAAAATATTATTTTTTCCCCATAACATAACAAAACGAAACCCTTAATCCAAAACGCCCAAATGAGGGTACACAAGCAACAGTGGCTTGGGGGCCAGCCCCATAACCATATTTCCTCTCCGCCGGGCCACTCTACCCCTCCCCCCCCTCATTTTTTTTTCCTCATCCCCCCACAGCACCCGCCCATGCAGAGCCTGGGTGAACATACAGGTAAGCCATATGAAGCCTATGGTTGAGTTAGAAAAAACAAAAGAGTGCCCAACAAAAATTTTTTAAATACACACATTCCGACCCAACCTCAAAACCACCTGCAAACTTCACGTGACTCCCCAACCCACGCTTACCCCCGATCCCCAAAACCCCTTGGAAATAAATCTTAACAAATTTCTTTATAATTTAAAACAGTTAGAGATTTTACAGTACCCCCAAAGCACTTTATCAATTATAAAATTATTCTTTAAAATAATAATATTCAACTATTATGGCACACTTCTCCACTATATAACATTACGATTCAGCGAACCCGAAAAACACCCCCACCCCCAGACCATGGTCTCCTCTGCTAGGGGGGTCCCTACAGCACCGCTGGGAAAAAAGAAAAAAAAAAAAAATAAGCCCCACATTAAGGTCTGGGAAACGGGCAAAATGTAACTGGGAAGGGCCCACCATCAATCACGGTTTTTTGGTACTACAAATATGCAATTAACAAACTGGTACTAAGTGCAGAATATGAAACTCGCTGAGCATAAAATGATCAAGTTCTATGCCCAACGAGCTCACAGTCCACCTTAACAGCTTTTTCGGAAAGGCCCATTCAACACAGCGCGGGGCCAGGCACTGGGTTTGATGCATTCCCCTAAATTCCCTCAAAAAATTATAAACGAGAAATTAACTTTGTACAAAAGTGCCCCAGGAATCCCGTTTTAGAAGTAACACCAAAGTCAGTATGTTGAAAGGCAAAACCAAAATGTGGGTCCCACCAAAAAAAAACTTTTAAACAGTAGTACCTTTTTCCCAGGAGTTCAAAGAAAAGAAAAAACAGATGTTCATTTAAATTTCTACCTTGAAAACAACTCACATTATCCTCCCATCTCACAGCAATCTTTATAAAACAAACGGGTTCCCCCATGCCCAACCTCTGGGGGGAAAGGGGAAAAATTTTCGGGCCCCCCAAAAACAAACGGGTGGATGGGCACATTAATTCTTGGTGGACGGGGCCGAAAAACCCCTGGAGTCACCCGAGACCCCCAAAAGGTGGACCTCCCAGGCTGTCCCTAATGCATTCCAAGGACCCTGGAGTCACCCCAGGGGTGATCCCAAAAGGAAAAAATTAAAAAAAGGGGTCCTGGAAAACCCAAAAAACACCCGGATCAAAAGACAGACCCAAACAGTGGGGGGGCTCCCCCCAGCCCCAAAATTCACAAAAATTAGGCCCCAACAGCCCTATCCCAACAAAAACAGAGGCGGGCATTCCGCCAACCCTAAAAACGAGCTACCTTACCTAGGCGGGCCCTTATGGACTCCCCCCCCTAAATACACAACACTAGGGAACCTGATACCTCCAGCCCAGCTCAACCTGCCCTTTTTCTTTGGGGGTCCAGGGTTCCCTACTCGTCTACCGCAAATCACGAAAAATAAGAAAAAAGTGATCATACTACATCGTGCTTTTTAAAAACACAAGATAAGGGATTAGCAACCACATTCTCCGCTCCCTTCACAAATGAATCACAAGATGAAAGTTGGGAGAAACAAGGCCCCCCTTTGTAAGTCTTGATGGTGGGCCTCATTAAGTGAAAAAAACCCCGAAAAGGGAAAATTTGGTCACAACCATTTTAGGGTGAAGATGAAGAAATGCACCTAAAAATTTTGCACTGCCAACACTAAGGAAAGACCCCTCCTTTTAGGGAGGAATACTTTTGGTGTGCTACTTTTTGCGAGAAGCAGCCGATGGCTTTATTCTCCTGCTCACCCTGCAACAAGACTGCCCCAAACCCTCTTTTCATTTTGCAAAACCCGGGGGGGGTAACTCAGGAAACACATAAAAAGATCTTGGGGTTTTAAGGGCATAAAAAAAGGACATGCACGAGATATTAAAGTTAAAAATACGGGGTGTCCTTGGACCAGGTCATGGGAAACAGATGACCCCCCCATTTATTCTCAAAATTTGATGTATTTCATAAAAAGGAGAAAAAACCCTTTATTTTTTAACTGTACCTGGGGGCAGTCAGTGAAAACGTTTTAAAGGAAACACCTAGTGTGAGACCAGAAAAAGACAACGCCACCGACCTGCTGGAACAAAAAGTCTCTAGAAAAAAAACATTTTACTTCCTTCAAGGCCCTATTTCCCCCCAGCTTACATCATGCCGGCCTGCGCCCCTTTTTTCACAAATTCGGAAACCTCTACCTCATGGGGTTTAACAGGGCCCCCTTTTTTTCAGCTCCCAAACTCTTTACTAAGGTCCCCATGGCGGGGGCCAAAACTTAACCAGTCTTTCAGAAGATCCAAATCTTCCACAATCTCTACAATTTTCTGCTTCATTATCTTTCTCAGGATTTACCCTCCTTTTTTGAAGTCACCACACATTTTCCATCATGTTTCCTTCCCAGGAACCCGGGGCTCCAATCCCAACCCCTCTGTCCATTTCCAAAAGTGTGCACCCCTCAAGTCCCACGTCACCGGGCGCTGGCGCTGGGCATG